ATTTGTGAATACGATGTAGTATGCATGATAACTTCATGGTCTCAAAATATAATAAATAGAAACTTTTCTGAAATCAAAAGATACCCTTTCGTCAAATATAACATTTGAAGACGTTATTTGCTAAAAATGGCCACAAGAAAGAATATTTTTGTGCATATTTTCCATAAATTATGTTTGAATGCATAGGCGCACGGAAGACCAATGAGAAAAATGCATACTGCGCAAGTAGTATTTTTAGTAGAGTATGTATGCTTTATGGGGCTGTATATAGGTTGCCGAAGCCCGATAAATGAAACCCAAGGTAGAAGGGGATAAGTGAGTTTCGTTAGTGGTCGCGAACGTTCATAAACAAGTCTCAATATCTCCGGATCTAAACCGGGAAGACAACGAGCTCTTGGCTCATTGGTTAGAGCATTAGAATCTGATCAAAAAGATCGCGAGTTCTAGCCTCGAATGATGCATCAATTGGGGCTGGGTATGACTGGCTGACGACGACTAATAAGCCAGAAATGACCATTCCAGTCCCCGTGTCGTTGCTGGCAATGCTATCTGAATAGAGTATGTATTTTGCGAGTACTCGGAGTGAAGTGAGTTTAAAAGCCGGCGTCCTACTGTAACTGAAATACGCTGAGTTTCAGCTTCACGGTAAGCAAAATTACAACAAACACATTTCGTATTTGAAGCTGACATTTCACGAAATAGATAAGCTACTGTGCTCATTTTTAAACCGAAAAAATACTTGGGAATTTTGGCGAAGATTTCCTGAGACTGGTCTTTGACAGTGTCTGCGCTTATTGTAGAACTCGGAAAGGGTAGTGGACCATACTGCATTCAGCTCCTTTTTTCCACCTCCTCCAGATACACCCACAGCACTCAGAAACCGTTCCCCTGTGAAATCTGCGGCAAGGGATTCTGTCAGTCGAGAACTCTCGCACTCCACCGGACAAGGCATCTTCACTACGAGACTAAATGAAGCGCGCATATCCCCCCGTCTCCGGAAAAGGTACGAGGGTGTAACCTCCTTGTACTCCTTCGACAATGATTCAGACAAATAATTGTCCTATGAAAAAATGACTCTCTCGTTCTCTCTCTCTCTCT